AAAAATGTTTTGCTCCTGTCTAACGAAACACATAATTAAATTAATTTCTTTTTTTTATCAATATGTTACTCTAACTGTCAGCTATCTTTTCCATACTTTCGATAAAGTCTAAGTCAAGTCTGGACTGAGCTACATCGCGCTGATCCTCGCGAGACAAAAAAGCACTTTTTAGTCTGCAACGCCATTGTTAGTGTGAATTTACCTGAAAACGATGTATGAATTTGGAACTCATTCACATATTTTAAAAGTAGCATGTGTCTAGAGATGGGCCGTAATGAAGTCGAACAGAACGAATACATTTAATGTGAAGTATACGAGGCGACAGAAGGATGAATTTTCTCACTTCATCATGTCTTTCATTTCATCATCATGTCTCATTACGAATAGTCGACTATTCATATAACTTAGTTCCGTTCATTCTCATTCAGAAAAGACAAACTATACTATCACTGATTTATGAGTGAGTACAGACGAAAGTAGTTCGCCTAAACGTAATAATGAGCTCCTTACGTAAGAAACGTAAGAAGTTTCCTACTCATTGGCTCTTACGTTTCTTCGTTCAACATATATAAGAGAAAACTACTGTTACGTTCAATCCGTATTACGTTTGTTACGTACGTTTAAGCTCTTTTCTCTTTCTTTCCAGACGTGTATTCGAATATTCTTTACTCGTTATAAATGAAACATAGTTTCGTATAGTGAATAACGAATAATCGTTCGTTCCTTTCTTTCGAGGCTTACGAATTACGGCCCATCTCTAGTGTCTACTACAATTTATTTGCAAAGAGCAAGTTGAGATGTTATTTTATTTAAATAAAAAATTGATTTTATTCTCGCCAGGTGTTTTTTCATATTAAGTTCCTAATACCTCAATAACCACTTGTAGCTTTGAGTTAATGTTTTCAGCGGCAGTGAGCATATTTTAGATAAATAACATACAAAAATTCCACTAAGATTCATTAACTAATAAAAAACTTATAGCGTTTTTACATGTCGGATATGAATGGTACAATACCAGCGCAATTAGCCCATATACGTCAGACGTTAACGAAATAATTCAATGACTCGATCTTCAACCATCAAATAGATAAATGTGTCTTCTTTTCATTACTATCACCATTGTAATGTTGACAAATAAATAATACATCATACAGACAGAACAAATCTTATTTTTCCAAGTTATCTGCGAGATAAATGGCTAATGCCCATCGTTGGTTATTTATTATAAATGGCTGACTTGATCGTTGTTTCTATTTTAACTTTTGATGCCGAATATCTGTTCAACATATACCAGATGAACATAGTGGTTGAGTCTCTACACTAAACTTTCCAAACCTTAATATAATATTGATATATCATTTTTGATTACCATGCATCTTTGTGAAATCGTTGTAATAGTATTGGATTTTTTTCAACTATTGGTATGGTAATTATCCATAATTGACAATGAGAATATCTTCTGATTTAGACTTAATTTTTAAATGAACAATTTACGTAATTGTAAGTTGAAAGAAATTTGACGTGATCTCACTGACGAAAGCAACTAACAGTACGCACCAACCCGACAAGATGATGACATCGTCTCTAAACATAATTATGATGACTAATCGTACCGTTGCTCATTACAGTTTCACTCATTGTAGAGTTATAAGCAGATGTAAAGAAAAGGAACAAGACTAAATAATCTAAAAATTAGAATAAGTTGATTCCTTCTTTCAACTACAGTAGCATAAATGAATGAATTCATGTTAATGACGATTATGTACAACATGTTTGGTTTTTTGAAATTTTCTATTAGTAATCCATACTATGGCAACCGGAATAACAATTATGCCATTAAATAGACCGTTATTTGAAGTATATCACCCGCTGTTTCAGTCTTAATAAAGTGCAGTTTTGATTTTTCACCTTATGTTCACGTGATTGCCCACTGTGTTAGGGTTCAAAGTTTTACTGTTTTTTCCTCGTAATTTGCGGGTTATATGTTATGAAAAGCATGATCATTCTGGAACGCTTCGGTTCGGAGAAAAATGCCTTTTACATGAACACGTTTTTGCTGTTTTTAGTTTTGTCCAAACATCAACAAATTTAGACATAATAAAAATACATTTACTCATTGGTGAAAGACAAATTGAACTGTGTTATCAGTTTTTCAGTTTAGATATTTACTTTTCATAGGCTCTTCCTCTCACGCAAAATGTGTATTCACCCTATAAGACTGTGTGAATGTCTTAAAATCAACTCCATTTAGCTCATTTAATTCGTTTAGTTCAGCTCTGTCGAATGATATATCGATGCATTTTTTACTTTCTTGAACATTGTTTAAGCGCGAAAAGACATAGAGGATTTTTATTTACTTCTTTTACCTAAAAGTTTCCTTTTGCAAATCATTCAACCAACTAGCGGAAACACTATTTCCTAGATACCTTCGAGTCTGGAAAACAAGATGCACAATTCAATATTTCCTTATTGTAAAATTTATTTTTAACTATTTTTGCCTGCTAAACTACACAATGTATGAGGAATGTCTAAATCTCTCTTCAACTTCGACAAGACGAACGAATTCATTATTCTCGACCTGGTCAGAACAAAAGCCAAATCGAAAAACAAAAAACTTACAGACAGGGCATTATTGATAGAAGAAACAGGAAAAACACAGAACCAATATCTGTATGAAAAAAAGAAAAACGAAACAGAATCTCAGAGAGAACATCAGCATGACAAGACAAGACAAAGAAAAAAGGAAAATGACCAGACACTGGCAGATTGTGTCAAAAAATTCGTCACAGAATGTTTTATGCAATTAACTTATTGATTAATTCTATTTTGTATGATGATAATGAGATGTGCGGTGCAATATTATTACAGGCAAATTTTTTCATATTAGGGTGCGAAAATTCAAAGTTCGAATAAGATTTTTTTCTCATTTATTTATACATGGATGGGTCAAGCGCATCGAGCTGAGTAAGAAAAAGTGGTTTTTAATTTTATAAAAAGTTTTTCAAGCAAGAAAAATTGAAAAAGTTCGAAGGGTGTGAAGTTTCGAAAAATTGTCCAGTGTGAATAATATTTGGATTTTTCCCTTTTTCGTTCTTTTTCTGCCGAATTCTACCCGTACGTCTCCATTATCTCCATCAGAACTCAAGTTTTATGCAATAAAATATCACATTAGGAATCAGCGTCGAGAACCGAGTCGAATGGTGTAGCTTTTTTTATCGTATCCGACCCCCTTTCTTTTTATCGAACTTTCATGTCGAAAGTTTACTAGGAATTTTACCACAAAATTACGCTCAACGAAATTTTTCGAAATATATATCATTCCAATCAGTTCTCGACGCTGACTCCGAATATGATACTTTTATTGCATAAAAGTTGAGTTCCGATGAAGAAAATGGCAAAGTACGGGCAGAATTCCGAGTTTTCCGCTCCTAGTTTGGAAAAAACGAACGCTAAACCAAGTAAAATGGAATAAAAGCGATAGGTACTTTTAAACCTCGTTTAATGTCGATTCTAATCAAGTAAATAGATAAATAAATAAATGGGATAAAAAAATCTTACTCAAACTTTGAATTTCCGGCACCTTCTACAATACATATACTCTACAAATGTTTTATTTCTAATAAATAATCATAAAATTCTTTTGGTTTAACGACTATTTCATTATTATCAAAAAGAAATTCTAAAATTTTAATTTTTTTAAATATTTGAAATAAATCCATATCATGAAAACCATTTGTTATTTCTAATAGGTTTTTATAATTTGGTAATTTTAATTCTTTAATATTTGGCATCAATAATATTACATACTTACATAATAAATTATTTTTTATATAATGTATATTTAATATTTCAATACGCTCACATATTTGTTCTTTATATCGATTATTATTTAAATTAAAATTATCTAATAAAAATACACGATGAATTGTTATTTCATTAACATTAATAAAGAAATTTTTAATGTAACTAAATATATCTGATGAATACGATGAAAGATCAGGATCAAAAACAATATGTTTTACATTTTTCCAAGTTTCAATTAAATTTTTATTGTCACTATTAGTTTTATATTGTAAAAAGTTTGAAGATAGTGACAATCGTTCAAATTGATATGGTAATGAAAATAAATAATATCTTACTGAGTTCAAAACTTTTATTTTATGTAAACCAACTGAAAATGAATCCCATGTTGATAAAATACTATTTGTACACCTATCAAGATCGTTATTAGTTAAGCAAATATGAAATTTAAAATCATTAATTAAGATTCTTTGTTTTAGATAATGGCCATTTAATAGATCAATATCATTGTTGTTATTACCTGATATATTTAACCTTAATTCTTTTAAATTTGTAAAGGAATGTATCAATGGGATTAATTCCGCTGTATATCGATAGGAAGAACAATTATTCTTGTTTGAAACCGATTGACAGGATCCAGATGTCATAAATGTAAATTTAGATAAATTAAAACACGAGTGTGTTATTTGTTCATAATTAATTCCTAAAACAAATAGCAAACATGTTGAAAAGTAAACTCAGGTTACAATTTAAACTAACCCATAAATTCTGAAAAGAATTTGTGATAATCAAATACTTTAAAACTTTTCAAAAGTGACCACTTTATTCATTGCGAACGGTCTGGAGTCTAACAGGCCGTTTTCTGCTCCAAATACACTTCTCTAAAGTGAACATGTCTCTATTCTGAACAGTGAAGGCTTTTTTCGGTATTGAACGTAACCTGTCTAAGGCGAACAGACATGGCATATATTAACGAAAAACAGAAATGGAATAAACAAAATGCAATTCATTGAGAGTTAATATATCACCTGCAGGAGAACAGTTGTTCGAGACAAAGAAACTCTCTGTGCCTCTTCTCTCAGATAAGTAAAGCAAGCGAGTATCAATATCTGATGGAGTTTAATAATTCTATTTCTGAAGACTGGGCAACGATTTTGATATTAAGAATACAATAACTTTTGTAGCTGTATGAAGTAATTGTATTCTTAATGATTGTTTTGCTACAAAATGGCGCGTAGATATGAACTCACTTTAAACGAATCACTCGGCTTGATTCACGAGTCTAATCATTACTTTTATCGTAAACTTGGCAATAAATGCAAAATTTCTATTGGTGCAGTCTCAAATATTTTAACAGAAAACTCAATCTTTCAATGATTTTCCCCATAACTATTGTACAAAATGTGAATTGGAATTAAGATTAACAAATATTTATCTATTTACTTGAATAGAATCGACATTAAACGAGGTTTAAAAGTACCTATCGCTTTTATTCCATTTTACTTGGTTTAGCGCGAAAATTCGTTTTTTCCAAACTAGGAGCGGAAAACTTGGAATTCTGCCCGTACTTTTATCAATACTATTACCAATACTATTACAACGATTTCACGAAGACGTCATTATAATGTTAAACATTTTCGTAAAGTTTCCACGTTAGAGCTTTAGTGGTTCCTGAGAATAGTGCATTTTACTGAGAAAATGTGCCGCGAGTGAAAAATGCGAAAATTTTGAGATGTGCTCTAATACTCTGATGCTGCGTAATCTTCATTCAGCTCAATAACTCCACACGAGAACCTAGACTCTTCCATTTTCCACCGACCGGCTTACTCAGATGTTTCAGATATTTGCTCAGTATGCGTACGTAATAGATGTCATGCAGGATATAAATACATTTTGCATCCACTTTTAACACATTTTGCACCAGAACCGGACCAGTTTCTTAAAAGAACTTAAATTGAATTGATTGAATGAATTTCAGTTGTTTTCTAGAAGATCTTTGAACAAAACCCTTCGGAAATTTTTTAACTACGGAATCATTGCGGGGTACAAGAAGACGTAAGATGGAGCAATTCATAAATTTTCACTTAAGGGGGGTTTTTTTGGACCGAGGACGATACGTGACACAGTGGGCATCCAGGCGGAAATTAGGTGAAAAATCGAAGTTGCTCCTAATTTAAATACAAATAGTGGATAATGTAGCCCTTTCAAAGGACTATCGAATAGTACATAAATGTCTATTTTGAAAATGGTTCCTACGACGAGAAATCATGGTACACAAAACCGATTACGGATATCGTTACTACATACGAAATAAAGATTCTTGGCTTACTCAACTATGGTACGCGATTTCAAAGCAGATATTTAGAACCATTTTCGTAAAGTTTCCACTTTAGAGCTTCAGGCGATAAATGCAAAATTTCTATTAGTGCAGTCTCAAATATTTTAACGGAAAACTCAATCTTTTACAGTCATCCACACACTTCTAGTAGAGAGTACAGATATTCACATGTTCAGTCTTTACATCTTACAAGACATTTAATTTAAATTAATGATTTACATATCGATGTCCAACAAACAAGTCAATGAATCATACTTGGTTAAACCCGGGATTCAAAGACCTGTATCTCAGAAGCCGGAGATAAGGTATTGGGATGTCAGTTGATTTGATGGTGAAAAATGCATTTTAATACGACGGATTTCCAGGCTTTTCACATGTTACAACAAGTGCAGTAGAGCAATGAACCATTTTGAAATGTTTTTAAATGAGCCATTTTATTGCTTGCAGTCTCTTTCCTAAAGCGTTCAAGTTTGTCGATTTTGTCATTTCTGAGATAATTAGGTGTAAATTGCGTCTTGGAACCTATCAAATCACCCAATGTCGGACCTGCCCAGAACCCCATGACGATGTTTTAAAATATTTTAAATGACGCATTCGTACTCAGAATTAAATGCTCTTTCAAATGAGACGTGTTGTGACTTTTGCAGCATACCTCCATGCAACTGTGGGACACACAGTGTGCATCCAGGCGAACATTTGGCAGAAAATTCGAATACTGCCCAATATACTTCGATATATGGGCTGTCTTTTGGTAAGAAAATTTTGGTTCCATGTGACGAACTTTCGCAAAAACGTTAACGTAAAACAGACGTGAAATAAGCTCTTACACGAGACTATTGACTTTTTTGCACGATAAAGCAAAAGTGGAGATCTGAAACGGACATATTCGAATTCAGAGCAGGTTCGGCTACAACATCAGCATAAAGTTTCATTTCAATGTGAGTTGCAACGTCGGAAAAAGGGTTTTCCTAAACTGAACAGTGTTTTCGTAACATGACTTCAATAAAATAAAGTTCCGAAAATTGAAGATAAAAAATAGCCATCGTAGACTTCGTTTATTTTTAAAAATAACAATTCAAATGTGTAATGAATTTAAGGTGCCGGAAATTCAAAAGGTTAGTGATATAATGAATCTGGTCGAATTATACATGGTTGGATAGAGCACGTCGAGCTGATCAAGAATATCACCTTTAAAGATTTTTGACGTCAACTGTACAGCAGAAAACTTGTAAAAACAGAAAAACGTGAAAAACCGACTGTTTCTGAGAAACCGCATGGTTTCCCCACTTTGCTGACCTTGAACAATTTTCTGCTTATTTTGTTTGGATTCAGCATCAAATGCTGAGTAGATCAGAGTGACTTTGAAAAAATTTCAAGTCATCCCTACCACTGACGGCGGGCCTCAGACTCCGATTGACACCTCAATCTGGCAAATGTATCTCCTCCCTGGTTTCAACAGTAAACCCATACTATTATATATCATTCGAACCGCCGTTCGACGGGCTACGAAGTTACGCTCGCCTTTTTTCAAAAATGTTTTTTCCCTTCCCACAAACCACTCTTCTTATATGCCTTAGGTCATGACACTACTCGTTTTTTCTTCAGTTGGTACAGTTTTCTCTTCGACTTTTTTTTTTCTTTTTTCTGGCTTTATTCCTTTTTTTTAAACGTGTATTTTTATCTTAAAAATACCTCTGCTCGACAGTGGTAGTAGGAATCGAGCAAGAAAAAAAAGAGAAAACGTAGACGTCTAATTCAGTTTTGTGTTCCAGATTCTTCGATGTGACTGAACATCTGGCTGCCAGAGGTTGCTGTAGAAGTACGTGAGAACTTCGGCGTATGTCTTGCCCGCCTTATAGGCCTCCAAGGTCTTCCAAAACAGCCGGAAAAGTTTGAGTTCAATGCGCTTCTGCTTGAAATTGACCCGTGATACATCGATGAGTTTGAGCATGGTGGGAAACGTTTGGTCCGTGCGACTGCGAATAAACTGTTTCATATGGCACCACATGCCCTCTATGGTGTTAGTTTCGCAGTGATATTTTGGACCGAAGATGATTTTGACGTTGTATTTCGCTGCAAGCTGCTCGAGCTTAGTGACGTTTTTGAAAGCGGGATGCTGAGAAAGGAGACTTTTGAGCTCATCCAGTTTGACTTTATCGGGAAGAGCGAGTTGCAGTTCTTGAGCGAGGACAAGCAGCTCCTTTGATTTTCCCTTGTTCTCACCTTTTGAGAAATAACAATCCACTCTGACTTGCTCCATGAGTAGCGCTCCATGAGTAGCGTATCATCTTTCTCCGGAATATATTCTTCCTCATCTTCGTCGTCATCCTCCTCCTCCACACTCGTCTCTTCCACTTCGTGTTCTTTCAATTTCTCCTCAAAACTTTCGACATCCTTCTCTTCCTCTTCTTTTCGAATCACCGATGAAGCAGATTGAGCTTGAGCTTTGCGCTTGTTAACCTTAGGCATGATAATCGAAGAGTAAATAATTGAATCGCAGTTTGAAACGTATATTAAGACTTAACGAGTGAACACTGTATCAACTGTAGAAAATGGAATGTCCACGCTATCAGCGCTTTTTTACATTTTTTTTTTCTTCTTCCTTTTTGTTATTTATTCATTTGCTTTTCGTCTTTCTGCGTCCGTTATCAGTCAGACCTAATGTGTATGTGTGTATCTTTAATGTTATTATACACTAGCAACTTTTTTCTTCATGAACAGAAAAAATGATGTCATGGGTTTTTCCTCTTTCTTTTTGTGCTGTTCTTATATTTATTCTTAACATAGTCCTTTTTCTTATTGCATTTTTACTAAATAAAGCTTATAACAACTAAAGAAAAAACGAGTAGTGTCATGACCTAAGGCATATAAGAAGAGTGGTTTGTGGGAAGGGAAAAAACATTTTTGAAAAAAGGCGAGCGTAACTTCGTAGCCCGTCGAACGGCGGTTCGAATGATATATAATAGTATGGGTTTACTGTTGAAACCAGGGAGGAGATACAATAAAAATAAGTACACGAAGTACGTGTGCTGAAAAATTAGATATCATAACAATTTTTACAAAAATTTTACAATATCCAAATTTCGATCAATGAATAGTAGCATTAAATGAATTGGTTACTGATATTAATGATTATTCATTACCAATAATAAAAGATGTACGAAAGAAACGTGATGACGCTTTTGATGCCTATCAACAAGCCGTACCGCAAAAAAGCGATAATGACTTATACAAAACTAGATTGGTTGACGGTAAAGCTATTTATGCAGCTATTCTAGCTTCTATCAAACATTTATAGAGAGAATGCACCAGTTACACATATATTAGATGGCCCCCTATCATCTCTGGGAAAGGATAGGGCATCTGGTATATGGTAAAAAGCGGGTTATGCTTGGCTTCCTTAAGGTATGTACATTGTTGTACATATTTGTTCCCTCATGCACATACTTCGACCGACACAAGTATATGAGACAAGAAAGTCAAGCACAGACATCATATCAAGCATTTGGCATAAATAAGAAACTCATGTGCATGAAGATAAATCTTGAGGCATGGTATCTCATGTGCTTGAGAAATAAACTTCATAGGGTAGATTCTAGATAAGATTTCCTGTTCTAACGTCTACGTCCATATTTTTACGTTGAAACTGCATAACTATAAGTCCGAAGTCCACTTCCGCCACCCATTCGCTGCGCGATCGCTATAATATCCCGCATGTCGCAATCGTGAGCGCGATGAAATCTCATCTCCAAAAAGAATGTTTTTTAAGAACATCGCTGCGGCAATATCACAATACAATATTTGACAATGTTTTATCTGATATTTTTTTTAATTTACTCACTGGAAAACAACTGGATAGAATATCGAAAGATCGTATGAGAATTGTGCTGTGGTTCCCATCACGAAAAATTCTGCCATTCGTCTAATAAAAATACGTATTTTTCTCTCGTAGGAGCCATTGCACATAAGCTACGACAAGCCAAGCTCAATAACTATTTCCGATTTTTTTCTAAGCAGCCTCATCTTGTAGAGCATGGTCGAAAACCTATAAATCCAAATTTGTAGGCTTCCCGAACTTTTCGTTCTGTAGATATGGAATTTTTTCGACTGGAATAAAGTTGGAGAAGTTATACGCGTGAAAAACGTACATTTCGTTTTTCTCCTGGACGAGAAGAGATCGAACCGCGATTTTTTCAGGCTAGATAGTACTCGATGCCTACCATATAATGACATACAAATATTAGTCTATGTAAGTCATTTAAGGCTTTCCTTCTCGCACAAACGATTAACCGTTGAACACAAATAGTGTCAGATTGTACAACATAAAATTCTGCATCGTTTGACGTTAAAATAATTATGTGTAAGTTGAACTGAGAGGTCAGCATCGCTTCGCTAAAGAAATTAAGTTTATTCTGTGCCGTTTTAGAAAATTAGAATATTTTAATATCGTGAATATTCAGCTGAAATTTCGAAAATAATTTCAAAACAAAATTGATAGTTTCGTACAGGATTAAATTCTGTCTTTTGAGCTAGATGTTAAATTTTGAAACACAAGTCAATATGAATAAAAATTTAATAGAAAAGTGGCTTCAGGACCACTCTTTATAGGTACCTCTAGAAAAATTGCTTTCTTCTTTTTCTATAACTTATTTTCTATTTTTCAGAATACAGAGCTGTTTTCTAGATTTGTCTGTATGAATCTGGTGGCAATTTTCGAGAGAAAACATCCTTGATACGACATTTCCATGAACGACATTACGACGAACACGACCCCGACTCTTCTGCGAATTTTCACAGAACACGTTTGGGTATTTTTGGCAGCGTGTGATAGATGGAGGTGTGAGCAGTGTGAGAGTGAAAAGTAGTTTTACACAAAACATATTTTCATGATAATATAACTTCACTCACTTTCAAAATATGATATACAAAATACAAAACTAGGCGCATTTATTCTTCTTTTCAAATAAACAAGACTTCACAGTAATGCCGGTTCGCAGAAATGGCGGTGTATCCAAACATCGACAGAACACTATATCTCATTTGCTAGAAAGTGAACGAAAAGTCGATTTCTCTTAGAAATATGAGTTTCAAGAAAAGAGGAAATCGCTGGCACGTACATATAGGCGCTTGTATAAAATTGTTCTTCTTTTTCTATAAATTATTTTCTGTTTATTAGTGTATATTTTTTTCATTCCCGAGCTTCTGAACTTTCTTAATGGCATGGCATGTCGAGATCCGTAACAGTGGCATCTATTGAGAAATGAACGTGTTGGTAGAAACATTTTCATCGTGTAATTCACAAAAAGTTCTAAGATTAGAAGATCTCAGTAATTTTGTCAACAAAAACAGTCCACGTCAAAACATTTTTGACATTCATATGTGGAAAAATTGGTAAGATCTGACGCAACTTCACATATATAGGCTACATACGCCGCCGCAGACTCAATTAAATCTCTCTGTTGACAAGGCAGAAGATGTTTGCATGGGTGAATTGAATTCAACAAAAACGACAACGATGCTAAAAACAAAGACAAAATAGTAAAAGGTACACAGAAGTTTTCAGAGTTCTGGAGGAAAAAAATGAGAGTTTTGAAACCATACAACCTTTTTGGGTTTCCAAAAAATCGAAAGAATCTATTATGTCAGTAATCACTGACATTCCTTCCTCTTCCTCTTTTCTACTCTGATGACCACAAAGAATGTTGACTCAGTTCTTATTGAGTCAACGTCCTTTCATCATATTTATATAGTATTTGTCTGTACACACGAAGAAAAACTGTTCTGATATGTTTGTGATTTTATTCTTCTAATAAAATTCAGTGCCAGGTTAACGCCAGGAAAAATTTCTTTAAGACCTGAACAATATCAGGTTTTGTTGACCCTTCTGTGCTCATTCGAATGATATGTAATTTAAGAAAACCGAATGCGTGATAATGTCGCAATTAGAAGAACAAGAAATACAGAATTCTTCAATTTTTGAAGAAAACTTATAGGTACTTTCCTTAAAAATATTATTTTTCCAAGGTTTTATCGATTTTTTTGACGCGCTTACAAATTGTCTCATAAGTATTAAACAGAAAACTAAACTTCAATTTATTAATTGAAGAATTATTTCGTAAGGTGAAAATTTTTAATAAGAATAATAGGACTAAAGTCACCTTTTTAAACATAAGTATAAAGTAACAACTTTATTTATTTGAGACGTTTCGTTCTATGCTATAGAACTTCATCAGTCAAAATGATCAGTGTGTAAAAACATGGACATAAGTACAACAGAAAGAACAATATAAAGAAAACGTGGAAAGAACGAAGAAGACAATTTTACTTCTCTCGTAAAATGTAGAATGATGAATCATTATCAAAAAATGTTTAACTGAAAACTTTTTTGAGAGTAAACGTTCTTTCCTTTTTTATCACGAAACCAATCCATTAATAAACTCTCCTAAAAAGGTGACTTTAGTCCTATTATTCTTATTCAATTTATTAGATGATAAAATTGAGTTTGCAAGACGTTTCAGCTGGATGTTTTCTGCATCACGAAGCAATAGATTAAGTTTTATAGGGTAAAGAATGACGATAGATTTCATCAGCTTTAACATAATAATCTACGACAAAATCTAACTTGTAAGTATCCTCATAAGTTCGCCCATAATAATGAAAGAGAAGAGCCAAATCATCATCCATATCTGTACGAGATTCATCCGGATCTCTAAACTTTTTTCAAAATATGCCTTGGGACTTCCTGTTCTTCCTTCTTGAATCTTCAAAATTGCATGAAAACATACGTTATTGACCACGCTGAACCACGTGGCAATGTTAGTTTTCAGATCATTCTTCTCTTCGACACGATAGTGACAACATCTTTTTTAAGTTTCTTTTTTTTCGTCACTATTGTACACACACACACACGTGTTTATTAAATTAAATAATAATATTTACAGAAAAAGAAAAATAGGTGTATTTAAGTATTTTTATCTGATTATGGCTCAAATTCAAGCAACGACACTAGCACAGAAAGATAATTTATGTAATTCGGATTCTCAGATTGAAATGATACTGGAAAGCATAGATGAACGAAGAGGAACATTATTTAAACGCACTTAACAAATCAAAGTGTGCAATTTGAAAAAGAGAGTGAGTCAAATTGTGAATCTAATAATATGAACGACGATGGCGAATGGACAACAGTCCAAATGAAACAACGAAGAAAAAAAACACGTCGGGAACATGTAAATGAGCAAAAAGAATTCGTCTATGGCGACAGAATTTTTAACAATTCGGCAATGAATCAAGGAAATAATAAGAATGATAATGGTCGAATGTCTATTCCTCAATTATTACATGATTCTCGAAATGACCTAGATGAACGAATTCAAATTTCTTCACATGCAATTCATTATGCCACCGATAATTTACTTCCATCGATTAAATTTGTATGTATACCAAAATTGCAAAATTCGAAAGATGGGGGGAAAATTGTCCAGGAATTGATTAAATCAATTGAAACAAACTTTCGAGCGGAAAATAAAAACTATTCGAAACCTTTGGCATTTGATGTGTGGTATGTTGATTTAAATGGGGGCTTGATTTGTCTTACGAAGTCAGCACAAATGTTTGTTTATTTTTGCAAGGCTGAAAATTTACTGTTAAAAATTTTGGAAACAAATATTTCAATGCAACGACCAAAAAATCTTCCTGCCCAATTTTCGGTGCGATGTGGAGAAACAAGTGTTTAGAAAACGGCATGGAAACTACCGACTATCATTGCTCTGGACTTGAAATGCCAGTGTTCGCGTTCATTTGCTTTGTTTTTCCACTGTCAAGCCCATGTTTAGAATCAGAAAAACTTCAGCTATCAGCTCGTGCCAGAAACTAAACATTATGAAGCTTGTAACGAAAGCAAAAGTGAAAAAAGTTGACATCTACCGAAATCAAAGTGCTCTCATATGCCTATACCTCAGTATAGTCGAGTTCCACGATTTTCCACACCTCTAAAATAGTATCCAAATACGTCAGACGTTTCGTCTCACACTGCTATGTATACCATAAGCTCCCAAAACCTCCCAACTTTTTCTTTAAGTTTTTACAGATTTGACAAAAACCTCTAAGGATATCGCAGTATTTCAGTTTTCTCAGTCGAAAATTAACTTTTTCGTAAAAATAAGGTCATATTCGGAATCAGCGTGAAAAACTGCATCGAATGGTGTATAACTCATCTGGTCTTATAGGTTTTCAACAATGCTCTTTCCAGTGGCATCATTTTTAAATATTGAGAAAGTTTTCTCAAGGGTTTTCCAGAGACTGGATCTCTGGAAAACTCCTTAAAAAAGCTTTTCAAAGTCCAGCTCTCATGCCATTAGAAAGAGGATCATGAAAAACCTATAAAAAAATGGTTCATGAAATTTTAGTTCACTAAAAAAGCTAAAGTCCGCCTGCTCTAGCAAAAAATGCCCACTGTGTGAAATTACCATGAAATGTCTTGAAAATTTTTCCGACGACAATCTGCTACCGGTGAATGTACCAAAAACAAAAGCGATGATTGTTCACAGTGCGGTATCACCGAGTCAACCGGAAATTTTTTACCGTGCGTACGTTAATTCAAACAAATTTCTGGGAGTAATTATTTCAGCCAAGCTGGGGTGGGGGAAGTACATTAGCGAACGACTAAAGAATGTGAGAAGTACATATAATGCGTTGAGATTTATTTTCAATGACATTCCAGAAAACCAAATAGCAATCCGTCGTAGATTATTTCTAGCATATTCTCTTTCTCACTTTACTTTACTTTTTTGCACGTGGTTCTTTTTTACCGAAAAACAAAAAGAGCAAATTGAGCATGTTTTTTGTTCTGGTTTGCGTATGGTATATTCGTTGTGGGAATGGGATGATGTAACAATTTTAATTTTAAGTAGAGAATTAACACTGCGCGATTATCTTTTAAAATATTGATTAAGGTTTAATAAACATTTAAACGAGTCTGCTGAAGCAACATCTTACCAGCAGACGTTTTCATTGTATTTGAGTGCTAAATCTCCTGATAAGGTGTGGTATAGATCAATGGGGTTTAGAAAAAACAGTTTTTTTCTTACTAGACTCTCAAAAAGAGCTCAACATAGCAAAATCGACTTGCTTAGATTTATTGATGTCCAGATCAACCAGTTTGCTTTCTTCTCAATAGATACTTCACAAATTCACTTGTTTATTAAAAAATATTTCGACTTGCCCCCATAAAGATTCTATCTTTTTTCTTTTATTGACTATTTTGTTTCTCTTTCTATAGTAAACTGTAGAAAAGCCGTGGCGTTTCTGATGCGGAATTGTGAAGTAAATTCTTATTTATCTTTCTGTGTATAGTGTATATATATTTTTTTTTTCTTGGATATGGGGAGGAGATATTGTTAACCTTATGGAACAATAAAATTGATTCAATGTTAAAAAAATGTTAGTTTTCAGAACACACTGCAAGAACCGAGTGAAAACCTCTGCTCGAAGATCTTATAAGATTCTCATAAAATTTCTATAAAATCTATAGAACTGCCTTGAGTTCGGTCAGCTAAGGCGCATGGCCAAAGTTTGAGAACTATCTCATCTATGATTTGGTTCAAACCTGCCGATCTCAGAGAGCGCCCGTTGTGATGGAATGAACAATTTTGACCAATAATCCATGCTGTAAGCGACGATCAATGTTTCAATGTGACCATGGAAAACTTGAAATCAGCATTCCTCGGAATAATCGATAAATCTAATAACTGAGCGAGCATTAAAGTGCTTGTTGTGATTATTTTCTGAAAACTAGAAGAACAACCGACTGGCGACATGCACATGCAGCCATTATAAATGTCTACTTTAATTGAGCTTTCACTCTTCGAATGTCGCTCTCAGTGGTTACCATCTGTGGATGCGTTGTTGCAAGCGACTTGCGTCTTATTCCTGCTGCTTTGTTATGATATTCTAATGCTGATTGCCAAGTACAAGTTGCTTCATGCACGAGTCCCATACTACGGTATGTAGAAGCGATATCAGGGTGATCGGATGGAAGAGCTTTTACTCTGATTTTCAATGCTTTCTCATAATTCATCCAAGCTAAATCATATTCACCTTTGTTCCACTGCACAACACCGATATTGTTATATGTGCCGGCGATATCAGGGTGCTCGGGCGGAAGAGCTTTTACTTTGATTTTCATAGTCGACTGATGTTGGTGTTTAATTGGCGTCACAAAGACATGCGTCGCCGCACAAGGACAATTTTGGTTTATTTTATGGTATAGAAATCATAAGCTTTTGATTTTTTCAGAATACAACCAGAAAAATATTCGATTATTGTATTCGAAACTAAAACTATCAAAAAACGAAATCACTTTTGTACGAACGGACATTCGAACATATAAATTTAGCTTTGCAGTAAACCCCAAAACTAAATCCACTGTTCTGTGTCTGCATTCTGTACAACGATTGAAGTTGTGCAACCTACTCGATATTGTCAGTAGTCATTTTTTTGAAATGTTTTTTGTGTTCCGTTAGTTTAATTGATAGTTTTAGTTTAGAATACTATGATGGAACATTTTTTCGTTTGTATTCTGAAAGAATAAAAGCTTATATCAATCATTTATTATTGCTAAATAAATGAAAATACGTGGAAAAAAGCTGCAGCAAAAGAAAAGATATAAATATTCGGTGCGAATATACACTGAGAGTGGTGTCGAAGTGATGCCACTTAATAATACGAATAAAAGAACTTTTCTTTTGTGAGCTTTCCTGTTCCAAATCGTACGCCAGCTATTTTAACTTAATGCTTGTACGTTAAACTAGAATCAAAATTTTAGGATTATGACAAATATGTATGAATCTTGAGCCTGTCAAGATATATATTTTCAATCCATAATCTCTTATCTGTTGTTCTTGCGCTAATGATTGAAGGCGTTATTATGTTATCAAAACGATGAAACCTAATTTGATCAACCATCCAAACATAACGTTGAATCGTAGAACAGAAAAGAGAGGTGAAATATGGTGGAAGAAAAATTCATCGACTTTGTCCATTTCTTTACACTTAAAAAAGTGCGCAAACAGGTAGGTGATGGTGAGAGTGACAAGATAAGAATAGGACGTTTTATTGACTCTGTTGCATCCACTCGCTAGAAAAAGCAATGCATTTCTCTTCTCTTCAGTTATGTCAACAGAAAGCTTCTAACAGAACACGTTCTTTTTGTGTTTTAGTTTTTAATTTTTATAACTTCACATTCACAGCGTCATAACGGCACTGATTGTTGTGAGTAAATATCAGTCTAAACCATAGCAAATCGGGCTATTTCCAGCGAGGTGGTTTGGGAAGAAGCGGTATAGATATTCTGATTTGTTATTTCGCGTAGCCCATGGGAAAATTTTAGTAGATACCGCGCCGTTAACACTTGTGAAGTTCGTGAAACGGAATGTGAGCGCAGGTGAACATCGTAAATGGTGTGTTGGCACGCGTGAAAAAATTATTCTTGTGATCAGTCGTGAACTGTGCACTAAATTCTTTTCCGTCACATTTTTCGCACGGCGTCACAAGTGAAAAGATATGTGACCACGCATGAAAAAGTTATTCGCTTGTCAGCAGACGTGAACAGTTCACGAAGACATATATGTGACGTTTCTGCCGCGTGACCACTAATGAAACTGGAAAAACGTGTAGTGGACCAAGACACTTGTCATTTTGCAGAGAAATGTTTAATGTGCTTAATTATGTGGTTGCAGTTTTAGATTAGTTTGTAGCTTGACTGCAATAATCTTTTGAAAAAGAGCGAAAAAAGGATACCGTTAGCTGGACAAGCCGTCGCATACATCTAACGAGGGAACCACGCAAAGTGATAAATCGCTTTTTGATCGAATCAAGTGGGTTATACGTTATCGATCATGCTGATTTCGAAAATGATCATGAGGGAGATCATTCCTTGAAAACTTGTAGAATTTATAACAAAAGCCCTAAATTGTTGATTTTTAGCGCAAAGCTACAGAAACAATTAATTTAGGACTCTTGTTATAAATTCTACAAGTTTGCAAAGAAAGGTCATGTAGAGCTGGAGGATGTCTCATTTTAATTAGAAATTTGCGGGCTACAATCCTATATTGCTAAGAAAGATTTGGATTATTTTCTAGAGTTTCTCAAAAACTGGTTTTTCAAAAGACCGGATCCCTGAAGGGCCATGGGCAACACCCATGGTCAGATTCTGAATCATGATTGATAACCTATAATTCACTATATTTCGATCAAAAGGTGATTTATCATCTAGCGAGCTCCCTTCGTAAGTGTACAACATTATTTCTCTTTTAAAAAGAAAGCACAAGTAAGCATCACAAAAGCAAATGTTGTTTTTTGATTAGATGGAAAGATATGCAACTGTCATTCATCATCAACATCTGCTTTGACATTCACGAAAGCTTTTTCTTCTAGCGTCGATGGCATCAAGCAATCCACAACCCACAAAATGGACAAACATAAACATTGAGCAACAGAGTCACAAACAAGGACAGAATCTAGAAACATTTGCTCTCTTATGGCTCGATCAGAATGTGAATGAAAGCAAAGACAATTTAGAAACACAAGCACAATTGCGGAGATCCATCAACTGTTTATTGACGTTTGAAAGTGGAAATGAGTGTGAAGAACATATTCGAGAAAGGAAAGATGAAAAGATTGTTCTAATCGTGTCTGGTCGATTAGGCAGAGAGATTGTCCCGAGAGTTCACGATTTACCCCAGTTAAGCGCCATCTATGTCTACTGTATGGATCAAACAACGAATAAAAGATGGGCAAAATCTTATAAAAAGGTAAAAGAAGTTTTCTTCAGAGCACCAAACACTTCAAGAAAGAAGCCAACGTTCTCTTTCATGTCTACAACTTATCTGACACGGTTTATGAAACATGTGAGCAGATATGGGATACTGTGATTAAAGTTGTCCCATTTCTCTTCCAAGATTGTTCTGTGATGGAAAATTTTGCTTCTTTTCGTTGGATTCAACCTCTTAGATTAGTACCAACAAGAGCTAATGACCTTCAGCACCGGGAATGGGCAAGAATATCGATAGAGAAAAGATTCCTTCGATATGGCATCGCAACCTTGTCGTTGATAGACCTCTTACAAGTCGGCGAAGAAACACTCTGACATTCTGAAAAACACTATCCCTCCACAATCTGATTCTGAATGTGTGGGTTAGCGACGGCGAGATTCAATGATGGACGCTTCCGAAATTAGAACCGCCTGTAGTCTGGATATGACACGCTGTCGCTCCATGCTATCAGAATTTTACAGCAAACAAACACGAAACAAGTCACGGAACTGCGTCTACTCTTTAGAATGCCCACAATTCTCGTTTATTTTCTGTCGCTTTTCTAGGTCAGAGCCGTAATTGTTGAGCTAAACAAACTCGTCGAGACAATATGCAAGGATCAGACGAAACGAGAGAAAACAGAGGATTCGATCTCAATCAGCATCTACGACAGAACACATACAAATCTTAAAACAACAGTTCATTCATGTGGTTTCAGCTGTTTATCGAAGTTCTACTCCGAATGAAACATTCAGAAGCATCGAAAAACGAATTTGTTCAAATCTGCAACGAACACTACCGAGGCAATGACGCAGATCTTGAGATTCTTCGTGAATTTGATCAAACATACAAGTCGTCTGATGCGCTGCGATGGTATACTCGAGAATGTTTTCTCTACAAGGTGCTCAACAAAGCGCTTCGAGTTCAGAACATCGACATTCTCTTCGCACTTCGATTTCTAATCACCGATATTCACAACCAGCTCATCAAAGAATCGTCAAACACAAACATCAGTCGATTATATCGAGGTCAAGTGATGTCAAAAGATGAGCTTTCTCGCATTCGTTCAAGTATTGGCGAATTCATCTCGATAAACTCCTTTCTATCCACAACTCGTAGTCGGAACAAGGCACTTGGTTTTGCTCAAAGTACTCGGTGTGACGCTGAGTATGAACGTGTTCTCTTCAACATTAAAGTTGAGAGTCGAATAAAAACAAAATCGTTTGCCGATATTTCTCGATTGAGTTATTTCCCTGGTGAGGAAGAAATTCTGATTATGCTCGGTTCCATCTTTCGACTAGAAAGTGTTCACTATGACAAAGAACAGCAAATCTGGCTGGCTAATTTAGATTTATGTAACGAAGATCATCACGATTTGAAACAAGTGTTTGACCATATGAAGAAAGAGATGGGGAGTGAAACCACTGTCATTTCACTTGGAAATTTGTTCCGCGTAATGGGTGACTTGGACAAGGCCGAAAAGTATTATAAACGGTTGTTAAATGAGCTCGCCGTGAGTGATTCCGTCATTCCTGACTGTCACACAGGACTGGGTGATGTTGCCAGAGAGAAGGGTGAATATTCTTTAGCTTTGATGAATTACGACAAAGCATTGAAAATCAAAGTAAAAGCTCTTCCATCCGATCACCCTGATATCGCCGCCACATCTAACAATATCGCTAATGTACAAGCTGACAAAGGTGAATATAATTTATCTTTGACGAATTATGAAAAAGCATTGAAAATCTTCTTAAAAGCTCTTCCACCCAATCACCCTAATATCGCAAATACATATAACAATATCGGTGTTGTGCAGTGGAACAAAGGTGAATATGATTTAGCTTTCATTAATTATGACAAAACATTGAAAATCTTCTTAAAAGCTCTTCCACCCGATCACCCAGATATCGCCGAAGCATATAACAATATCGGTCTTGCGCAGTGGAACAAAGGTGAATATGATTTAGCTTTGATTAATTATGACAAAACATTTAAAGTCAGAGTGAAAGCTCTTCCATCCGATCATCCTGATATCGCCCAAACATATAACAATATCGGTCTTGTGCAGTGGAACAAAGGTGAATATGATTTAGCTTTCATTAATTATGACAAAACATTGAAAATCTTCTTAAAAGCTCTTCCACCCGATCACCCAGATATCGCCGAAGCATATAACAATATCGGTCTTGCGCAGTGGAACAAAGGTGAATATGATTTAGCTTTGATTAATTATGACAAAGCATTGAAAATCTACTTAAAAGCTCTTTCACCCGATCACCCTCATATCGCCGCCACATATAACAATATCGCTAATGTACAATATGACAACGGTGAATATGATTTAGCTTTGATTAATTATGACAAAGCATTGAAAATCTACTTAAAAGCTCTTCCACTCGATCACCCTGATATCGCCACCACATATAACAATATCGGTATCGTGCAGTGTAACAAAGGTGAATATGATTTAGCTTTGATGAATTATGACAAAGCATTGAAAATCAGAGTGAAAGCCCTTCCACCCGATCACCCTGATATCGCCGCCACATATAACAATATCGCTAATGTACAAGATGACAAAGGTGAATATGATTTAGCTTTGATGAATTATGAGAACGCATTGAAAATCTTCTTAAAAGCTCTTCCACCCGAGCACCCTGATATCGCCGGCACATATAACAATATCGGTGTTGTGCAGTGGAACAAAGGTGAATATGATTTAGCTTTGGTGAATTATGACAAAGCATTGAAAATCAGAGTAAAAGCTCTTCCATCCGATCACCCTGATATCGCTTCTACATACCGTAGTATGGGACTCGTGCATGAAGCAACTTGTACTTGGCAATCAGCATTAGAATATCATAACAAAGCAGCAGGAATAAGACGCAAGTCGCTTGCAACAACGCATCCACAGATGGTAACCACTGAGAGCGACATTCGAAGAGTGAAAGCTCAATTAAAGTAGACATTTATAATGGCTGCATGTGCATGTCGACAGTCGGTTGTTCTTCTAGTTTTCAGGAAATAATCACAACAAGCACTTTAATGTTCGCTCAGTTATTAGATTTATCGATTATTCCGAGGAATGCTGATTTCAAGTTTTCCATGGTCACTTTTGAACATTGATCGTCGCTTACAATTTTTTCACAAAATTCACAATTTAGTACGCTATTATTTTTTCGTTCCTGTCAACAGTTGACATCATTATTTCTATCTTTCAGCTGGCCGAGCAACTTACTAATCAAGTTGTAAGGATCAACACATACGGCCAGACAACATTTTTTAATAGATCTAAAACCGAAAATTCTGAAAAAGTTTATGGACCGCCTCCAATTTTAGATGCTTCGCGCCAGCCCTGAATAATAAAATAACATATTGATAGTAATATCAGTAATGCCGCCGAAATATTTATTTGTAAACCCCTACTCTAACATTTTAACAAAATATACTTCTGTATCAATCAATTTCTTTTTCTTTTTCAATTTTGAATTTTATTCGTTCTTCTAATTGTTTCAATTGTTGATGAGTTTTATTCTTAAATGTTTGATTTACATCTGTTACTACAGCCTGATTAATTCCCTCTCATCAATCACCAACATGATTTAATAAATTATTTTGTAATTTTTTGTAATTCATCTTCTGTAATTAATGTAATGGCAAACCAATATTAATTCAGTATAACCTCGTATATCTGCCAATAAATCTTCTAAATCACGAATACTTAAACCATAAAGATAGGTCGCTGGTTCATGTATTTTAAATGACGTACTGATAAATCTTTGTCATGTTCTTCGGATATGTAACGTGCTAATAGATCAGTGGGTGTTGCACAACCATCGAAAATACAAATATTTGATCGTAATTTAAGTTGATTGAAATGAAACGAATCTTCTTCTTTTTCCCATTCACGATAATAGTCGGCTTCTTTCAAACGTTGTAAAAGATCTTTTTCTTGGTCCATTTCTTCTTTCTGACGTTCACGTTCTAAACGTTGACGTTTCAATTTCTCGAGTTCATATTTGTTTTCTTCTACTCTTTGTTTTGTTATATTATTTAATTGAGCAACTGATAAATTTGTATAACACTGACACTCCATTTCTTTACCCAAACAAAATTTTCTAATCATTCATCATTACAAATGGATTATTTGTATTATTCATATCCATGTGTTCTTCACCTCAACCTAATTCTGATTTTCGTCGTCGTTCTTTATCCGTTTTTTTCCCTAAACGTGTCAGACGTTTTTCTTGCGGTGTTTCAATAGTTTTCACTAATGCACTTACTTTGTTCGTTAAAGAGAAAACGTGTTGTGTGCTCATATACGAAAAAGAATCAGAATTAAGAGTTGTATGATCGAAGAGAATAAAAAATAATGGCTATTTTCCTGTGAGAATTATTTATACCCAAATAGTTAAAAATGTATACAGAGGATGTAAAATATACAAATTACGAAATATTATATACAGAATATGTACACTACGTGTAATTTGTTAATTTAGGAGAGAATGAGTGAGGTATAAGAGAACTATAATTAGAATCTAATTATTAGATTTATGTTATCATATAAAATTCAGAGAAAATTTTTCTCAGATAGATCAGTCTATTATAAGTGATCACTTTTACGTCGTGTTCGAATACACAGACCCCTTTGCAAAGTTATAGAATTTACAAGACAAACCCTAAATTAATTTCTTCTTATTTCTTTAGCTCTGAGTTGACAATGAACATTTAGGACTTTTATTGTGAATTCTCTAACTTTGCAAAGGAAGGTTGTGTAGAGCTAGGAGATGTCCCGTTTTAATCAGAAATCTGCGGGCTACAATCATGTTACATTGAGAAAGGTTTTAATTATTTTTAAGAGTTTCTGAAAACCGGATCTTCAAGAGCCACAGGGGAAAATCCTTTTAGGTTTTTTACTAGCTGAACATTAACGATGATAAGCCTGAAAAAATTAATTCAGATTAATTTTAAACTGAGAATTATTTTAAAAGTGATTTCTTTCAGATTGGTGCAAATCGATTTATTACTAAACTTAGTTAAAGGAATTTGGAAAAACATTAATTCAAATTAATTCTGAAATTTCAAATTAGTGTAGAGTTTTCGAATTAATGTAAGCTAATTGGAAACTCAAAATTCGTGTCACTTAATTTAATATAAGACTTTGTGTAATGCGATCATGAGAGGAATTAAGTTTTTCACGAAAAAATCGATTAAAATTAATTTCAGCCTTTTTTTGCTTTTTTAAATTAATGTGCATTAATTTGAAGTAAATTTTATGATTTGTTTTTATATTTATTCAGAGATTTAAATTGATGCGCATTAATTTTGAATGCATAAAGGTTTTTTAAATTAATGTGAAGCTTTTCTTTTAAATTTGTTCAAATTCGTTTGAATCTCGAAATTAGTTTGCATTAATTCAAAAGTATTTAAAAGTTTCAATGCCCTGAACAACACACTTTTTGGAAATTCTTACGGAAATCTTATCCGAATCTTATAATAATCTTATATAGGAAAACGCTCGAAAATTGTACGAATTCCGTAAGAGTCTTGTAAGAATCTGATAAGAGATTCGTAAGAACTTCGTAAGAAAGTGATAATTTATTATAAGACGTTGTTCTCATTTATCCGGATGTGTAGTAATAACTATAATAACTTGCTATCCGATAGTGACTCATGTGAGTACTATATATACAAAAGGTTCTTTTGTGATTGCTTCTAGTGCTATCAAGACATGTAAAGGATTTTGAT